AACAGATCCATAGCAGAAACAAGCTGAGTCCGCGTTTATGGGTCCGTTTCCAGTAGTGGAGCGAGTTGGGCCATTGGCTTACAGGCTGGAGTTGCCTGAGATTATGAGAGCCTTTCACAAGGTGTTTCATGTGTCGATGCTGAGGAAGTGTCTTCACCCTACAGAGGAGTTGGTGGCTAGGATTCCAGAGGATCTACAGCCAGATTTGACAGTGCCAGCAGTGCCTGTGAGGATTCTAGAGAGGAGGGATAAGGTTCTGAGGAACAAGAGGATCCCTTTGCTGAGAGTTTTGTGGGATTGTAGTGGTTCTACAGAGGAGACTTGGGAGCCAGAGGCAAAGATGAAGTTGAAGTTCAGGAAGTGGTTCGACAAGCAGGTCGAGGAGTGAGCTTATTTCATCTTTGTAGTCCTTAGTTGTTGTTTTTGGCTTTGGTGTTATTGTATTTTCGTTTTGGTTGTAACGATATACATTTTTGAGTATTTATGAGATGCAGTTTTCCTCATTTTGTCTTGTGTTGTTTTAAGTGGATTTCGGATGTTACAAGTGTTTGACAGTTGGTCGTGAGACATTTCTGATTCTATTGTTATAGACGTCTTGGAATTTTTACTCTAAGGATTGCGATCCTGAATAACTCATTACGGTTTTGGAGACAGTGGTTCTCTGGCAGACTCATCTGAGTGTAGTGGCCTCAGTATGAGTGACTTAGCTGAGTGTAGTGGCCTCAGTATAAGTCGTGGCTGTCTTATTTGGGTGTAGTGGCCCCAATATAAGCAGAGGTTGGCAAGCCCCTAGGTGTAGTGGCCCCAGTTTGGGTAGGTGCAGACTAATATGGGTGTAGTGGCCCCAGTACAAGTTGTTTGGAGGTGATGACTTAAGAGTAAAGATGTCTAGAGACGGGCGTATGACATAAGATTAGATATGTCTTGGGGATCAGGTGAGGATCTCCAGTGTTGCGGCCTTGCGAGGTCGGATTTTTGTGGTCTTTTGTGACGTTTGTGTTGGGATTCGAGGTCCAATCCAGTTTAGTGGGGGAGAGTTGTAACATCCGTAAACAGAATTGTCAACTTGAGGAAACTGTGTCGAGCGACACTAAGGAAGTGTGTCGGTCGACACAGCGATTTTGAAATCAAACCCGGTTTGATTTGAGTGACCGATTTAGTGGTTTGGGTTGGAAAATCCTCGTTTCACGTTTAAGAACCTGCGAGCAGCCGCCTGGGTCTTCTTCTTTTTCTCGTTTAGCGGACGAAAAGTGGAGAAGACGAGAGAGCTTGAGGCGATTTCCGGCGTTTGAGGGATCATTGAGGCTGTTTGTCGTTGATTCAGAACTTGGGCTCGTGTGTTGTGGCTGCTGCGCGGTGGTTCGTCGTGTTTATCGTCGTCATTGCTACAGTTCATCTTCTTCAATCCGTTTTCCCCTCTTTTCAACCTAGAATCGAGGTGAGTGCATGACTGTGGGTCCGTGATTGCTAGATTCAGGATTATGTGTGTGATTGTGTGTGATTTGTGATGATATGGTTGTTTTTCGTGGTTTGATTTGAGATGTGTTGCTGATTTTCTGTATTTCAGATATTGATCGATCTCTGTGTTTCAGGAATCGGTGTCGAGCGACACAAAGCTTGTGTTGGTCGACACCAGAAGGTTTGTGTCGGAGCACACAAAGCGTGTGTCGGTCGACACAGACCGGTTAATTCCGGTTTAAATTGATTTGGTCTGACTTAATTGAATTGATTTAATTGGTTAAATGGTTTAATCTGGTTATTGGTAATTTCAGATTTTAATTAATTAATGGGAGTTTTAATTAATTAAATTTTAAAATTTAAAATTATTTTTATTATGGAAATTATTATTATTAATTATTAAGAATTATTTAATAATTGGAAAATGGTATTTAATAATTATTGGAGTTTATAAATATTATTAAATATCTAGTAATTGCGTAAATGGCTCGTAGGCAGAGTGATTGCCTCACTAAGTATTTATTAAATACTTATGCAATGTGTTGCAGGTAAAAGATATGTGTGATCGCGGAATCAAGGCTGAAGAGGGGATGATAGGATGTTTATTGTTTTTATTTATTTGGCAATGTTTTGCTAGACTTGTTCAATTATTATTTGCTTCCGCTGAACTGATTTGTTTGTTATTGATATTTATTTATTTAATTTATTTTAAAGATCTTCGCTAGAATTGATTAGTAATTAAAAAAAAATGTTAGTTGTTTCATAATGTGCTTTGGTTTTTTAAATACTTACACAAGTTGGTACCTACATGGAGAGAATATATGTGTCACAGAGACTGCTCAAGTGCCTTCTGATATTGCTCAAGTTGAATCGGATTCAACTGTGAATCTCTTGGATGATCTTTTTCCTAATAGTGATACGAATATGCATGGTGGTGATGAACCTGGATCGTTTGAGCATACTATGGGTACTGATAGGCCATCAACTTCAAGTGGAAATTGTGGAAAAGGGGAAGATTTTGATGAGCTGTTTGCTGATTTCAATCAAGAGCTATATACAGGATGCACTAAGTTCACGAAGTTGTCCTTTCTATTGAAGCTATACCATATCAAATGCATGTGCGGGATTAGTGATAAGGGGATATCCATGGTGCTTGATTTGCTGAAAGAAGCATTTACACATGCCAAACTGCCAGACTCCTTTAATGGCATGAAAAAGGTTATTCGCAAATTAGGATTGAACTATAAGTCAATCCATGCATGTCTGAATGATTGCATGTTATATTGGGAGGGAGATGCAGAAAGGGAGGATTGCAAAGTTTGTGAAGCTTCTCGCTGGAAAGTTTCTGAAAAGAGTACAGTCTCTGGATAGAAAATATAACAAAGAAAGCTCCTGCAAAAGTTTTGCGTTATTTTCCTCTAAAACCACGGCTGCAACGTTTATTCATGTCATCAAAGACTGCTAGACACATGACATGGCATGCGACTGCTAGTAACAGTGATGGTAAGCTTCGACATCCAAGAGACGGATTGGCTTGGAAGGCATTCGATCAAAAATATCCTGAATTTGCATCTGATCCCAGAAATGTCAAACTAGGTGATGTACTTGCATTTTTAGTTTTAGTACATCTTTTATGCATTTTTTGCATAGTTTTAGCATTCATTAGCATCATATCTTGTTCCTTTTCCTTTCTTATGCATACATTGTAGTTTTAGGTTGCATTTGCATACATGTGCATTTTTTATCCTTAAACAGGTCTATTTGGAGCACTTGAGACGTGAGGAGCAAGGAAGGACATTGTGCTTGGAGCTCAGTTTGACCGCGCATGCTCAAGGAGAAGAAAGAATCCGTTTGAAGCCAGCTCAACCGGCTTAGACTCAACTCGATCGAGCTGCTTTTCCAGGAGTCAAAGTCAAAGCCGAAAAATGTTGCTCATCTTTGACTCCTCCTTTGACCCTAAACCTAATACTTTTCTTATTTGAAGGCTTGTAGCCAAGAAAAAGACAACTCTCTTGAGCCTTTCTTTTGTTTTAAGCTTTTAATGAATTTTGTAATTTTCATTTCCTTTAAAAACCTTAGCCTCTCTTTGTGTTCTTGAGCTCTTGCTCTTGAACCTTAGATTTAGGCCTTATCTTTGTATTTCTGCACTTCTCTATTTCAATAAAAGTTGTTTATCTTTACCTCCTCTATCTTTTAATGTCTCATTCATTGCATTTAGTTGTGTATTTCTCCATGTGTAGTGAGTAGTTCTCTTTAGGGTTTAAGATGGGATAGGTTAGAGGTTGTTTATGCTTAATCTCTCTTGCTTTATGTTCTTAATCTAAAATCTCTCTCTTTTGGGCTGAGCTTAAGGCTGCACAACCACTATCCTTGGTGTGTATGAGCCTAGGCGATTTTCCTCATGGGAATGAGTGGAAATCGCTTGAAAAAGTCCACTAAGAGCTTCAACATGCTTGCCTCACTAAAAATAGGGTTTATAGGTGTTGAATGGGTGAATTTGAACAATGATCCTAATGCTCCAAGGCTTGATCTCACTAGTTGACCCCCTGTTTCTGAGATCTTGTCTTGGATGATAGCTTTCATGGAAAGGGTTAGCTAGGCTTGAGAAGTTCAATACCAAGAGATAGCTTGAGTACAAATTGTTTAGAGCAAGGTTGATTAAGTATAGCGTCCCTCTAGCTGCAAAACCTGTCTTTAGCCCTAATATTCGCATTAGCATCTTAAAGTTTGCACCTTTATTGTTTTACATTTGCATTCCTCTGTTTTTACACTAACTCGACCCTCAACTCGATCGAGCTTAGTTACTCTGTTTCTATTCGATCGAGCTCTTGGTCGAGCTGCCTTGCATTTACTTGTTTCTTGTATTTACATTTCATTTTAGATTGTTTAGTTGTTACATCCATCCATTTTACTATTTGGCTTGATTTTCTTGTATTTGCATATTCTCATAGAGTGACAATAAACTCATCTGGATTAATTACCTCTTATACTATATTGACTATGATGAGAAAGAGGAATTGATTGAATGTGATTGCATCTGTACACCATACCATCTCATTCTACATTCCACTTCACATGCATTCATCTCATCTCATATCACATTTCATTCCACCACACAATAAAATCCTTTCATCAATAATCTCCAGCCCACATTTGCTATCATAGCCATATTCATATCCTTTGATGCTCGTATTCCCAAGCCACTGTCTCGTTTTGGAGCGCACACTCGTTTCCAAGCAACCAAATGTTGCTTCTTACTCTCTACACTGCTCCCCCATAAGAAAGATCTTAACAATTAGTCTAATTTGGCCAGAGTGGATTTTGGTAGTAGGATAGTGCTCATGGAGTGAACATGGATAGATGAGGCTATTGATTTCATGAGTGTGAGCCTCCCTGCCATACTTAAGCCTCGCCCTTTCCAATCCACCATTCTCGACGAGACTCGCGCTAGCACATCCCCAAACGTTTCTTTGGTCAATCTCTTTTGTAGCACCGGCATGCCAAGGTATTTGCCCAAATCACAAGTCGCTTGTATGCCGCTTTCTCCACTGATCAAATCTCTGGACTCCCGGGACACATTGGCAGAAAAGTAGATCTTCAACTTTTCAATAAATCAGTTCAGCAGAAGCAAATAATAATTAAACAAGTCTAGCAAAACAATGCAAAATAAATGAAAGCAATAAACGTCCTATCATCCCCTCTTCAGCCTTGATTCTGCGATCACACAAATCTTTTACCTGCAACACATTGGAATGGAGTTGCATAAGTATTTAATAAATACTTAGTGAGGCAATCACTATGCCTATGAGCCATTTACGCAATTTACTAGATATTTAATAATATTTATAAACTCCAATAATTATTAAATACATTTTTCCAATTATTAAATAATTATTAATAATTAAACTCCATTTTCAATTATTAAATAATTCTTATAATTAAAAAATAATTTTTCATATTTTAAAATAATTAAAATAATTATTTTAAATCAATTAATTAATTAAATTAACCATTAACTAATTAATTCCGAAAATAAATCAAACAATTTGAATGAAAACATTTTAATTCAATTACACCAATTAACTAGAATCAAATCAATCTAAACCAAGATAAACCAATTAAATCAACTAGAGATTATACCCCCGCGCAAGCGCGGGATTGTTTTTCGGTTAATCATCATTTATATATTTCTAAAATTATATTATATTGTTTTTTGTTATTCTCTATAATACTCACGATTTGTAATAGAAACTCTTGTTATGTTTATTTTAAATGATCTTTTCTGTATAATACTGAAGATCTGTAATAGATACTCCCGTTATGTTTGTTTTAAATGGTCTTCTAATTTTTCCAAAGATTTGGCAACTATTTCTAGAATTTGTTAGTATTTGCATGAATATTTATTATATTTTTAGTATCAAAAACGGTTGTTTAGTGAACTTAGAACTTCCTCTAGTCACCATCGACCTTCTGAGTTTCTAAACTCGTCAAAATTCTTATTAACATCATCTTGAGCCATGTCCGCCTCTTAACTACATTCAACCACCGCCTCAGTCACCTTTTGAGTCGTGCTTTTTGCCATTTTTCGTCTGACATGAATCTTTTTATCTCTATTATAAACCTTTTTAATTTTTTTATATACAGTTACAAATAAACTTATAACTTTTCTATTCTTATTAATTTTTAATTCTTATAAAATCTGTGTTATTTCATATATTATTTTAAACATGTTAATTCATTGATTGACTAATTTTAGTTTTAATGTTTGTCATTTATTATTTTCATTTCTTTTGTTTTATAATTTTGGATTAAATGTGGGATCCATTATCTCTATAAAATTATGTTGATGTGGATTGCTTAGGAGGAGAGAGCAACTCCCTAATTATATATAAGATTAATTCAACTAAACCAGATTAAACCACACAAACACACAATTTATCACAGAAACAACCATAATATCATTAAATAACAATTAAACACATAAACTTATCAACATCAATTAATTTTAAAACTTAAAAAAAAACAAAAATGAGAGCGGCTAGGGTTTTAGGCGATCCCGAGGGCGATTTCAGACCTAGATCTCAGAACCACAAAAGACGGCCGGAACATCCTCTCTACAGATCTATCGGGCAACGAAAGTAGTTTGGAGAGGAAGGTGCAAAGATTTCTGTCGCCGTTCTAACGAAGTGATTCTAGGGTTCCAAGGTTTTCTAGCGATTTGCTAAGAAGGTGGTGTTTTCTTGTCTAGCTGTGTGCTAAGGTTCTGTCCGCTCCGTTCACATCAATGCAGCGTGTTTTCGTCGTGTGCATCGGTAAGTTCTGAAAGCGTTCCGCTGCTTTAGAACAGATCTGATTTGTTAGGCTACTCCTTGTCTTGCTTCTCACGCTATCAATGAATCTAGTCTTGCTAGTTTGTGTGTTGATCAGACATGAGTAATATGGATCGAGTGACTCGACATGGAGGTTCCTCTAGTCAAGCGAGACGTAGACTAAATCTGGAGGAGGAAATTATAAAGCTTCCTGCGTACGATATGACATCGGCTGCAGAGAAATTTAAATTGACTGTGATTGGTAGAATGTTCCACAGAGAAGGAAGAAACATGGATGCGATTTTAGGGATGCTCCCAAAGCCAAAGATTTGGGATGTAGAAGGAAGAGCCAGAGGAACAAGTTTAGGAAATGGGCAGTTCCTTTTCGACTTTGATAATGAGGAGGATATGACAAAGGTCCTAGGAAGCGTCCATGGCATTTTAATAGGTGGAACTTCTCGCTTGAGAAATGGACCCCGTTCACTAGTGAGTCTTATCCTAATACGATGGTGTTTTGGGTTAAAGTAACGGGTATTCCTGTTCATTTCTGGAACGATGATACCTTTCAAGAGATCGGAAAGGCGCTTGGAGTGGTCCAGTTGATTGAAGCGCACCGGGCAAAGTTCCAGGTATCGATCAATGCTGATGAGCCTTTACAGTTCGAAAAGAAAGTGGGCTTCCCCAATGGGGATACAGGAATGGCGAAACTGGAATATGTTGGTCTCCATAGATACTGCTTCACCTGTAAACTATTATCCCATGAAGAAGGAACTTGTCCTGCGCTTACAGATGATCAACGTGAGAAGAATAGGGTACAAAGGCTCGAGCTAAACCAGGAGCATACCCCGTATCTGAGGGGGTATGGTGGAGGACTCCAACAAGGTCGACGGGAAGAGATACAAACCGGGAGACTCCTGGGACATGAACGCGAGGGACGTGGAGCGAGTTATAGAGACTATCGTGATTTCCCTCCTCCGACTTCCTCTAGACATGAGGACCGTTACATGAATGCTAGAAGAAGTGGGATTGAGAGAGAAAGAGATCTGCGCCTGAAACTTAAGCAACAAAGGGATTCGAGAGGAAAAGATGTGTGGAACAGGGTCAAGAGATTACCCACGAGACATACTCCTGTATCTCGAGAAAGATACCATCCCTACAAAGGTTCTTATGATCGTACTCGGAAGAGAGATACCTCGAGAAACAATTCCCACCAAATGTGGAGACCTAGACATCCCTACAACAAGGCTCTCCCAAACCAAATGGAAACCCCAAGCTCCCGTGTCTCCAATCATAACAGCGAGGGTTTCAACACGCCAGTCGATTCCCAGCGCACTCTGTCAGCGAGAGGAGATAACGAGGGCCCAACTGATAGAAGAGGTTCTGGGGTCCTTGTCGTCTATCCCAAGAATACGGAGGAAGACCGTATCCGTAAACTAAAAGGGAAAGCGATAGAAACAGAGGCATCCAGGGCAGAAGCGAAGAGAATAAAAGTCGAGAGATTACCCACGAGACGTACTCCTGTATCTCGAGAAAGATACCATCCCTACAAAGGTGCTTATGATCGTACTCGGGAGAGAGATACCTCGAGAAACAATTCCCACCAAATGTGGAGACCTAGACATCCCTACAACAAGGCTCTCCCAAACCAAATGGAAACCCCAAGCTCCCGTGTCTCCAATCATAACAGGGAGGGTTTCAACACGCCAGTTGATTACCAGCGCACTCTGTCAGCGAGAGGAGATAACGAGGGCCCAACTGATAGAAGAGGTTCTGGGGTCCTTGTCGTCTATCCCAAGAATAAGGAGGAAGACCGTATCCGTAAACTAAAAGGGAAAGCGATAGAAACAGAGGCATCCAGGGCAGAAGCGAAGAGAATAAAAGATCTTGCCTTAGGTCGCAAGCTGGGAAGCCTCTCCATCAATGAGCCTGCTATTGGGGGGTAAGAGTGACCCAAAGGACTTAGATTCCCATAACCTGTTGTCTCCTCCAAGGCAAACTACTCCGGTTGGAGAAGAATTCTGCGAACAGGAGCAGAACATGGAGGCTGAAGAAGGGGAATACACAGAGGCTGATTTGGAAAATATGATGGAAGAAATAGAGAACCCATTGATGGATGATACAATGATCGATAATGATGATCTCCCCGATGAAGATATGGAGCTCGGGGCTGAAACTTGGCTTCGCTAGTTCATGGGTGCAATGGATTATGCTTTGTATCTCCTCTGTCTCATATCAAGTTTTGATCAATGGAGAAGCAAAAGGGAAAATTATACCATCTCGTGGCCTTAGACAGGGTTATCCACTCTCACCTTTTTTGTTTATTATCTTAACCGAAGCGCTCATTGCACAAATACAAGGTGCGGAGGAAGAAGGAAGGATCACGGGGTTGAGAATTGCGAGATCATGCCCACCAATCTCCCATCTCCTGTTTGCAGATGATAGCTTGTTCTTCTGTAAAGCTGATGTCCTGCAGTGTGGAGAGTTATTTAAGATCATTAAATGTTATGGAGTAGCTTCGGGACAACAATTAAACACAGCGAAGTCATCAATATTTTTTGGTAGCAAGGTTCCACAAGCAACTCGAGTTGAGCTCAAACGTACACTCGGTATCACTAAGGAAGGAGGTATGGGAACCTATTTGGGTCTACCAGAAAAGATAAGTGGCTCCAAGAAACAAGTTTTTGCATTCGTACAAGACCGCCTTAGTAAGCGTATAAACTCTTGGTCAGCTAGACTTTTATCTCGAGGAGGTAAAGAAGTACTTATCAAATCTGTAGCTCAAGCTCTACCAACATATGTTATGTCCTGTTTTCTGCTTCCACAAGACATAATCAAGAAACTCCAAAGCGCTATTTCCAACTTTTGGTGGAGCAATAAACAAAATAGTCGGGGGCTACATTGGATAGCCTGGGACAAAATCTGTATCCCGATAGAGAAGGGAGGTCTCGGCTTTCGCGATCTACAATTGTTTAATCTTGCTCTACTGGCGAAACAATTATGGAGACTGTTGTACTATCCATCCTCTCTTTTGGCAAGGATCTTGAAGAGTCGGTACTACAGAAATACGTCCCCACTTGAGGTAGAGAAATCGAATGCACCATCTTTCAGGTGGCGAAGCATTATGGCGGCCAAGGATCTCCTCCAAAAGGGGCTGAGAAGAACTATTGGAACCGGAGAAACAACCTTAGTATGGAGAGACCAATGGATCCCAGCAGAACAACCAAGGCTCCCCAAGGACTCGGGTATATATCAGGATGCACTTCTACTTGTATCACAGCTTTTGGAACCCCTATCAAAAGAATGGATACTCGATAAGTTGGTGGATCTGTTTGATGTGGAGGATAACCAACTTATCTTGAGTATACGTCCAAGCCGTGTACAACGACCTGACGGCTTTTGCTGGACGTACTCTAAGCCAGGGAAATATTCGGTCAAGACGGGTTATCAACTAGCCATGCAGCTTAAAGATCTTCTTGCTCCACAACCGATTGTACAACCTAGTACTGATGCCATAAAATCGAAAATATGGACCCTGAAGACACGTAAGCTGAAACACTTTGCTTGGCAATCGGTTGCAGGATGTGTCCCAACTCGTTGTCGTCTAGCGGAGAGGCACTGTGGCACAGATCGGAAATGCCCAAGGTGTGGCGCTGAGTCTGAGACCATTAACCACATGCTTTTTGAATGTCCAGTAGCGCTGCAAGTATGGGGTTTTTCGAATATCCCAACAAATCCGGAAGTTTTTCCGAGACCCTCTCTGTTCTATAACATGGATTATCTCCTCTGGCGTGCGAGAGAGATGAGAGCTACTGAAGAAAGCCTTGAGATTTTCCCTTGGATCTTGTGGTATCTATAGAAAGCTCGCAACGATAAGGTATTTAACAACAAAGATATTATGCCGTTAGATACCTTCCAGTTTGCTAGGGCTGAAGCGGAAGCATGGAAGCTAGCACAGCTCGGTCCAAATCCGATTGAGAGCAACATATCCGTTGAACATGTACCCAACGAAGCTGCAACTGTTATACGTCCCCGGTGGCAGGTAGATGCATCATGGACGTATAATAGCAGGTTTTTTGGAGGTGGCTTTGTTATTGAAACTGAAGAAAATGTCACGTTCAAAGGAGTACTTACGAGTGCACAAGTAGCTTCCCCTCTTCAGGCGGAATTTTGCTCTCTGATTTGTGCAATGAAGATGACCAGACGGCTTGGATTGAATTCTATGCGTTTTGAGTCAGACTGTCTCGAGCTGGTGAGACTGATCGAAGAAGATGAAGATTGGCCCTCGTTGGCCACTGAATTGGAAGAGTTTTATGCAACTTTTAGTTCCTTTCATTTTGACAATGGATTGAAACTGAAGGAAAAAGGAAAGACGATGAACAGTGCCCGCGGATGAACAGTACCCGATGAACAGTAAAATCGAAAATCTCTCTCCAAAAACTACTTTTCTCCTCTCTCTGCTCGAAAATTCTGAGAAGACGGCTGCACTCTTTAAACTTGATTTTAGGGCTTTCTCCACTAAACCGCCCAAACCAATTCACTTAAATTGAACCGAAAAATTCAATTATTTGGTTTATGGATGTTACAACTCTCCCCACTAAACTGGATTCGTCCTCGAATCCCAACACAAACGTCACAAAGACCACAAAACCCACCTCGCAAGGCCGCAACACTGGAGATCCTCACTGATCCCCGAGACACGTCATAATCTTATGTCATAACGTTCCAAGAATTTCACTCCTAACTCATCATCCTCAAACCACTTGTACTGAGGCCCACTTGCACCCAGACAAGTCTGCACACCCCCACTGAGGCCCACTTGCACACCCAAATAAGTCAGCCACGACTTATACTGAGGCCTACTTGCACCCAGCTAAGCTACACTCAACTGAGGCCTACTTGCACCCAGAGAGTCTGCCAGAGAACGAAGTCTCCAAAAACATGATGAGTTATTCAGGATCGCAATCCTTAGAGTAAAAATTCCAAAATGTCTATAACCATAAGATTAGACCGTCTCACAACCAAAAACTGGTCAAACATGTGTAACATCCGAATACCATTTCACAACACAAGGCAAAATGAGGAAAAACTGCATCTCATTAAAACTCCAAAATGTATATCGTTACAACGAAAACGAAAATACAATAACACCAAAGCCAAAAATAACAACTGAGGCTACAAAGATGAAATAAGCTCACTCCTCGACCTGCTTGTCGAACCACTTCCTGAACTTCAACTTCATCTTTGCCTCTGGCTCCCAAGTCTCCTCTGTAGAACCACTGCAATCCCACAAAATCCTCAGTAAGGGAATCCTCTTGTTCCTCAGAACCTTTTCCCTCCTCTCTAAAATCCTCACAGGCACTGCCGGCACTCAAATCTGGCTGAAGATCCTCTGGAATCCTAGCCACTAACTCCTCTGTAGGGTGAAGACACTTCCTCAGCATCGACACATGAAAAACCTTGTGAAAGGCTTTCATAATCTCAGGCAACTCCAGCCTGTAAGCCAATGGCCCAACTCGCTCCACTACTGGAAACGGACCCATAAAACGCGGACTCAGCTTGTTCTCTGCTATGGATCTGTTAGGACCCCTCAACATAGCCATCTTGAGATAAACTCTATCTCCAACCTGAAACTCAAGCTCTCGTCTGCGTCTATCTGCATAACTCTTCTGCCTATCCTGAGCCTCCTTCATGTTCAGCCTCACAACACGACCTTCTCTGTCGTCTCCTGAACATAAGTAGCTCCATACATGCTGCGCTCCCCCACTTGGGTCCAGCATAGGGGTGTCCTACATGGCCTCCCATACAAAGCCTCAAATGGAGCCATGCCAATACTCGCCTGAAAGCTGTTGTTGTATGCAAACTCAACTAAGCTCAGGTGATCTGCCCAATGGCCACCCCAATCCAACACACACATCCTCAGCAAATCCTCCAAAGTCTGAATAGTCCTCTCTGACTGACCATCTGTCTGCGGATGATAAGCTGTACTCAGATGCACCTTAGTGCCCATCTCTGCCTGAAACGCCCTCCAAAACTCTGAAGTGAATCTGGGATCACGGTCTGACACAATACTAGCTGGCACTCCATGCAGCCTCACAATCTCTCGCACAAACTTCCTAGCCAAGACAGCAGCTCCATCTGTCTTCTTGATGGCCAAGAAATGTGCGACTTAGTCAACCGATCCACAATCACCCAGATAGCATCGAAAGTCCTCGAAACAGGTAGTCCAACCACGAAATCCATCGTAATCCTGTCCCACTTCCACTCTGGAATGGGTAAACTCTGCAAAAGACCACCCGGAACCTGATGCTCTGCCTTCACCAAGGCACAAGTGTTGCACTTCGCAACCCAGTCTGCTACATCCCTCTTCATCCCGACCCAATGATAGTACCTCTTGAGGTCATGGTACATCTTGGTCGCTCCCGGATGAATGGAAAACTTGCTCGCGTGAGCCTCTCCCAAAATCTGATGTCTCAACTCCACATCCTTAGGCACACAAACTCGCCCACGAACCAAGATAGTCCCATTCGCAGAGACCTCATACTCAGAACCAGTCACTCTCGTCGCATCTAGCAAACTCTGATCACTCTGCTGAGCAACTCTGATCCTGCTAAGTAGATCCGCCTGATCCACTGCCTCTAAACCCAAAGGCTCCTGCGAAATGGCACACAAACGCAAGGTACTGATCTCGCCAACTAGAGACTCCACATCTCGCTCAACTGCGGAATCATACCTCCGTCTACTCAACGCGTCCGCCACTAGGTTAGCCTTGCCCGGATGGTAGTTAATGCTCACCTGATAGTCCGCCAAGAACTCAACCCAGCGCGTCTGTCTCGCGTTCATCATCGGCTGAGTGAAGATATGCTGCAAACTCTTGTGATCCGTGAAGACCTGTACTGTCTCACCTAGCAAGTAAGACCTCCAAATCTTCAACGCGAAGATCACTGCTCCCAACTCTAAGTCATGTGTAGGACGGTTACGCTCACTGCCCTGCCACTGTCTCGAAGCATATGCTATCACTCTGCCCTCCTGCATCAGCACACAACCAAGACCAATGCCTGAAGCATCTGTATACACCATGTAAGGCTTCCCTGGCTCGGGTAACGCCAACACTGGTGTAGTAGTCAACATCTCCTTGAGCTGACTAAAGCTCTCCTCACACTCAGCTGACCAAACAAACGGGACATCCTTCCCGGTCAACTTCGTCATCGGCTGCGCCATGGTAGCAAACCCCTTGACGAACCTCCTGTAGTATCCTGCCAAACCCAGAAAACTCCTGATCTCGGTGGCACTACTAGGTCTAGGCCAATCTCTGATAGCCTCAATCTTAGCCGGATCCACAGAAACTCCCTCTGCAGAAACAATGTGGCCAAGAAATCCCATCTCTCGCTGCCAGAAACTGCACTTGCTCAACTTAGCAAAAAGCTTCTGCTCCCGAAGCTTCTCTCCAGAACCAACCTCAAGTGAGTCGCATGCTCCTCCTGACTCCTCGAGTATACCAGAATATCATCAATGAAAATGATGACGAACACGTCCAAATACTCCCTGAACACGTCGTTCATCAATCTCATGAAGGCTGCCGGCGCGTTAGTCAAACCGAAAGGCATAACCACAAACTCAAAATGCCCATAACGCGTCCTGAAAGCAGTCTTCCTGACATCTGCCTCATCTATCGGGATCTGATGATACCCGATGCCAAGTCAATCTTGGAGAACCAAGTAGCACCCCTCAACTGATCCAACAACTCATCAATCCTCGGGAGTGGGTACCTGTTCTTCACAGTGACTCGGTTAAGACCTCTGTAATCGATACAAAGTCTGAAACTCCATCCTTCTTCTTCACAAACAACACCGGTGCTCCCCACGGTGAAACACTCGGTCGAATGAACCCCTTAGACAAAAGGTCCTCTATCTGCTTCTTCAGCTCTGCCAACTCAGCTGGCGCCATCCTGTAAGGCGTCTTCGATATCGGTGCTGTCCCCGGCTCTAACTCAATCGTGAAAGGATCAGACCGAGATGGTGGTAATCCCTTCAGTGACTGAAAGACATCCTCAAAATCCTGGACAACCTCAATATCTCCCATAACAACTCCAGCTCCTGACTCAGACATAGAAATCGTCGCCAGATACGCCTCACAGCCCCGCTCTAACAACTGCTCGGCCTGAATAGCAGATATCACAATACTCCCGGAAGTCGGTCTCACTCCCTGATAAACCAACTGATCGCGGGATCAGGTCTTCCCTTTTCCTATCCCTGATTCTGCAAGTGCACAGATCAAAAGTAGTAAACGGGTATCGAACACAAGGAGCAGATAAGTACACTTCGAGATTGCAAGTCTAAATAGCTAGAAAACAAGTATGATTTAGGGTTTTTGATTGTGAACAAGTAAATCAAACAGCAGATTAAACGGTTTATGAAAATCAATAGAGGGAAACGCTAGGCAATGAGAAACTCGCAGAGATTCAAGGTTAACAAGATATTAGAAGGTTCGCTAGGGTTTGCGCTATCTAGAACTCAGGTCACGATTGTATGATCTTTCCACTGTCGAGGCTCCGACCCCTTTGTTAATCTACCTAGTCGCTAAACTTTTGGTATGTCCCTAGGTGATTAAATCAAGCAATAGTTCGTTCAAGACCCAATTGTTCACAGATAGATCAACTTTCGCAGTCTATGAAGTTTTGCTCACCAAATACTTAGTTCAGGTTATATAGCAAGCTTTTGGAGAGTATATGAAACCTAAGATCTGATGCTAGTTGATCAGAAAAGCAAGCAGCAATGAAGTTCAAGCAGAGGCGAAGATGCGATATGATAAACCCTATGTGACTTCTAACAACCTATCAAACCATGAACTCTTTGATAGATCTCACAACCTAACTAGTGAATTACTCAGACATAATCAAAGCAAAAACACAAAGAGATGAAGAAAACATGATTGCAATAAAACTCAAAGTATGAAATTGAAATACAAGGGCGGCTCTCTTTCTCAAGAGGCTAAAAATCCATATATATAGTGCTAGGTCTTTCTAGAGGCGGCTTAGGGTTAAGCCGGGCTTGAAAACATAAGTTTGGGCTTCAAAAAGGGCTTCGGGTCGACCGCGGCGTTGGGACGGTCGTGCGGGACGATCGGCCGGACAATCGGGTCGTGGCCGAGTCGGAACGGTCGGGGTCGGATGGATTCGCGGTCGGCCGGCGTGGTCGACGGATGAGATTTGGCCGATGAAATTCTCGGCCGGACGTGGGACGTTCTTTCCCGGCTCGGACGGATGCATCGGCCGTGGTACGCGAACGGTTGCGCGGCCGCGAGGCTTGTTTCCCGGCTCGCGCGCGGTCGTGCGCGTGGGCGTTGAAGCTTGGCCGACCGCGGGCAATGTTTCCCGGGTCGTGTGCGTGATCGGCCGGTCGGTTTGGACTTTGGCCGAGACTTCAGACGGACGGATGTGATTTGGCCGAGCGCGGAACATTCGTTCCTCGGCCAGCCGGACTGCGCGGTTGGGCGCTGATTCTCGATAGAGCCGTCTGGACAGTCTCCACTCCTTTTCTACTCATCCAAATAGGCCATTCCAGTTGCGTTGGAAAGTTAACTCAATCAGAGCACGCAGGGAACTGGTCTTGATGAAATCCATTGAGTAGATCTTTTTCTGGGCCCTCTTAAAGTTGGTGCTTGTGCATGGAGCTGCTTGAAGTGCAAATCCTATGGTTTTGCTCCAAAATGCATCATTTCACCTGTTTAGACTCTAGACACTATAAACACAGTAAAACTACCTTTTTAGATAGAAAACCTGCCAAAAACCATTAGAAAACAATGCTAAAACAGTATAAAAAGTGGGTAAATTAGAGGTATATCAACTCCCCCAGACTTAGATCTTTGCTTGTCCTCAAGCAAAAAGAATCTAAATCCGTGAAAGAGGTTTGAAAACGTGGAAGCTCCCTTGCTCTTTTGAATATCCTGTGAAAGGTTCCTTTCCTGTATTCCACTATGAACATAGACAACATAAGGTTAGCTTCACATACACCCTGCAAGTTTAGCGAACAATACCAACCCAACTAGTCTCATCCAGCAATCCAAACTCTCTATTGCTAACCTCTTGCATAAATTTAAAGCGTGAATTCTTTATCAAGGGGACATCGATCAATTGAACTTGTTCTTACCCACTTGATCCTCTCCAAGATTGCCTCTTTAAGTGCAATGAGTTCTTTTCCTCTCTCTTTCTCACATCAGAACTTTGAAAGGTCAATTTCTCCCTACTTTTCTAGGGTATCATTTTATTTTTTCTATTGACCCTTCTTTCAACCACAGGATAAGTCTTTAGCTTGTTCCTTGTTTGACTAAGGTATTCCATAAGACATGAAGGTACAGACATATGCATTCCTCATGCTTACTTGTTTTCCTTGTGCTCTTTGAGCTTTTTCTCATAACATTACTTACCATTTGGGATGGGAGAGAGAGGAGAACTCTTTAAAGATTAGACAAATCTTATTGAAAATCAAGCAAGGAACTGTCGACATGTATGCCAACCCCCTTGACAAGAGTAATTAAGATTGATTAAGTGTGAGGTTAACTCTAGATTGCTTGGTTACCTTAGAAATTTTGCTGAGCTAGCATGTCGATCCACTGTAAGAGCTTCTGTTAGGCTTGTGCCTTTAGCTGGTTTCTGCTCTAGGGTCATGGATTGTTAGCACAACACTCTCAATTCTCAAAGCAAGTTCATAACTTCCGGACTGGTTTTTGACTCAATAAAACTTTTTGAAAAACATGAAACAAAGTGAATAAAACATAAGAAAAGAAAGAAAAATGCATTAGTAACACAATAAAACTCCCCCCAGACTTAACTTGCACCGTCCCGGTGAAAGCAAATCACATTAAGGTGAGAGGTAATATTCAAAACAAAAGAAAATAAAGAAAGAAAATGAAAAGAAATGACCTTCAATGGGTTGCCTCCCATTCAGCGCTTTGTTTAAAGTCATTAGCTTGACTGTATGGCACTTCCTTAAGGATCTGGTGGATCGCCAAGAGCTAGTGTGGTCTCCTGTGGTATGGTGGTGGAGGCTAGGTAAGGTTTTAACCTTTGTCCATTGACTGTAAAGTCTCCTCCCATTGGGTCCCATAGTACCACTGCTCCATAGGGGCGAACTTCTTTAATCCTGAATGGTCCTGACCATCTTGAGCGAAGCTTTCCTGGAAAGAGTTTCAACCTTGAGTTGAATAGTAGAACTTGGTCGTTTGGCGCAAAGTTCTTTGGGATGATCTTGCGGTCATGGAAAGCTTTGGTTCTCTCCTTATAGATCTTTGAATTCTCATAAGCCAGATGCCTAATCTCATCAAGCTCATTCAGCTGAATCAATCTTCTTTCTCCTGCTGTCTTTAGGTTGAAGTTCAACTCCTTAATAGCCCAAGCTGCTTTGTACTCCAGCTCCACAGGTAAATGACATGCTTTACCATAGACAAGATGAAAGGGGGTGGTACCAAGTGGTGTTTTGAAGGCAGTGCGGTATGCCCATAGAGCATCATCTAGTTTGGCACTCCAATCCTTTCTTGTCTTGCCTGTTGTCTTCTGAAGTATGCTCTTGAGTTCTCTGTTTGAGATCTCAACTTGTCCACTAGTTTGGGGTGGTAAGGAGAGGCAACTTTGTGAGTAACTCCATGCTTCTTCAAAAGGTTGGCAAAGATTCTGTTGATGAAATGTGAACCTCCATCACTTATGACTATCCTAGGCACTCCAAACCTTGGAAAAATGATGGATTTAAACATCTTGATGACCACTTGTGCGTCATTAGTAGGGCTGGCAATGGCTTCCACCCATTTGGAGACATAATCAACTGCCACTAGAATGTATTGGTCACCAAAAGAGGTTGGGAAGGTCCCATAAAGTCAATGCCCCAAACATCAAAAACTTCAACTTCCAGTATAAAGTTCTGTGGCATCTCATTCCTCTTGCTTATATTTCCCATTCTTTGGCAAGCATCACATCTTGATATGAATGCATGAGCATCCTTAAACATAGTTGGCCACCAAAATCCAGCTTGTAGGACCTTGGATACTGTCTTGTAAGTGGCAAAGTGCCTGCATAGCTAGAACTATGACAAGCAAACAATATTCCTTCTACCTCTTCCTCAGGTATGCATCTTCTAAACATTCCATCTGAACATTTCTTGTATAAGTAAGGTTCATCCCAGTAGTACCTTCTTACATCACGCAGAAATTTCTTCTTTCTGTAGCCAAAGAAGTTTGGTGGTGGGTATTCAGCTGCAAGGAAGTTTGCTATGTGGCGAAACCATGGTGTGTTTGATGATGAGATCTTTGTTCCTGGCCTGTGATGGCCTAGTTGTCCATGCTTATTGCTAGCTTCAGCTGCATAAACTGATTCTTCAGGTAGCCTATCATCAAGGGGTAGATTTTCTTCAACTCTCATCCTTGAAAGATGATCAGCTACTCCATTATCTGCTCCTCTTCTATCCTTGATCTCAAGATCAAATTCTTGCAGTAGTAGTATCCATCTCAACAATCTTGGCTTGGCATCTTTCTTAGATAAAAGATACCTTAATGCTGCATGATCAGAGTGAACTATAACTTTTGATCCCACCAAGTATGATCGAAATTTCTCAAATGCAAAGACAATAGCAAGAAGCTCCTTTTCTGTTGTGGCATACTTGCATTGTGCCTCATCAAGTGTTCTGCTGGCATAGTAGATCACATGTAGCTTCTTGTCTTTTCTTTGTCCAAGCACTGCTCCTACTGCATAATCACTTGCATCACACATTATCTCAAAAGGTAGTTCCCAGTTTGGAGGTTGAACCACTGGCGCACTGACCAATGCCTCTTTGATCTTAGTGAAAGCCTTGTGACACTCCTCTGTGAACTCAAAGTTAATATCCTTGCATAATAGGCGTGTTAGCGGCCTTGCTATCTGTGAGAAATCTTTAATGAACCTCCTGTAGAACCCAGCATGTCCTAAGAAGCTTCTGATATCTTTAACTGTCTTGGGCGGCTGAAGGTTTGTCATTACTTCAATCTTGGCTTTATCAACTTCTATGCCTCTTTCTGAGATTCTATGCCAAGCACTATTCCATCTCTAACCATAAAGTGGCACTTCTCCCAATTTAGAACTAGGTGCTTGTCTTCACATCTCTGTAGCACTCTTCCAAGATTCCCAAACATGATTCAAAGGAAGAACCATATACTGAGAAATCATCCATGAAAACCTCCATAATCTCTTCTATGAGATCTGTGAATATGGACATCATACACCTTTGGAATGTAGCTGGAGCATTGCACAATCCAAAAGGCATTCTCCTATAAGCATATGTGCCATAGGGACAAGTGAATGTAGTCTTTCCTGATCATCTGGGTGGATTGGAATTTGGAAAAATCCTGAGTATCCATCCAAGAAACAGTAGTATTGATGATTGGCAAGGCGCTCAAGCATCTGATCTATGAATGGCAAGGGGTAGTGGTCCTTGCGTGTGGAGGAGTTCAGCTTCCTGTAGTCGACACACATTCTGTGTCCAGTGATTGTTCTTGTTGGAATGAGCTCATCATGTTCATTCTTGATGACTGTGATCCCTCCTTTCTTTGGCACACATGTACAGGGCTGACCCATGCACTATCTGATATTGGATAAATCACTCCAGCTTTCAATAGCTTCATTATCTCCTTCTTGACAACTTCCTTTAGGTTTGGGTTTAGCCTCCTTTGATGTTCAATTGAAGAACTAGACTCATCCTCCAGGATGATGCGATGTGTGCATAGTTCAGGTGAGATTCCTGTTAAATCATCCAAAGAGTAACCAAGAGCCTTTCTATGCTTTCTCAGTTCGCGAACAAGTAAAGCGGTCTCTTCTTTTGTTAGTGCAGCATTAACAATAACAGGATAAGTTTCATTAGGACCAAGATATTCATACCTTAGACCAACTGGGAGTTGTTTGAGCTCGGCTTTTGGGGCTCTAAGTGGGCACCATGGGTCGAACTTAACTTTGGTTTGTGATATTTCCTGATTCTTGTCAATGTCTGGCTCTTCCTCTTCTCTCTCTAAGTCCATATAAGCTATCAGCTCTTTATAAGCTTCCTTTGAATCCATGAACTTGACTAAGCATTGAGCTTCTCTTTCCATGTATCCATACTCATTCTCAGCTTTTGTCAAAGCTAGCTCCAAGGGATCAATAAGAAGGAGTTCATCCAGCACTTCTTCTCTTGTCTCTGCGAGCTCCCAATCCAAAAAGCTTGACCATCTACAGTTGGCTTCTCCATAGACTTGTTTACTTCGAAATTCATCACTATATCTCCAAGATGCAAGTCAATCTTTCCATTCTTGACATCTATTATAGCTCCTGCAGTAGCTAGGAATGGCCTTCCCAAGATAAGAGGGTCTTTAGGTTGGTGTTCCAGCTCAAGAACTACAAAATCAGCAGGGATGTAGCAATCTCCAACCATGATTGGAACATCCATAATAACACCAACAGGGCGGCGAACAGATCTGTCTGCAAAGACTAGAGAGATCTTTGTAGGTTTGAAGTCAGTGATGCCCAATAGCTTGGCCACTGAGTAAGGCATTAGGTTCACACTTGAACCCAAATCACAAAGTGCTCTATGGAAGTGTGTAGAACCGATCTTGCAAGACAAAACAAAACTTCCTGGGTCGTTCAGCTTCTCTGGCATGCGATTCTGAAGTATGGCACTACACTCCTTTGTAATCATCATTGCTCCTTCTTCAAGACTCACATTGCTTGTGAGTATGGCCTTCATATACTTCCTGAGAGATGGAATTATTTGGCAAGCATCAATGAAAGGTAACCTTACTGAAAGTTGGCTAACAAGATCCTTGAGCTTTGCTTGCTCCTTCTCCTTCTTGGGTTGAGAAAGAACATTTCTGTATGGGATCTTTGGCTCATACACTCTTGGTTCTTCAGGTGGCTTCTCCACTTCCTCCTGAGTTCCTGGTTCTATTCTGACATGGACTTCCTTAGGTGGTTCAGTCCCATCTCCAATAATGACATACTCCATTGGTTTCTTCTTGGTTGGCGGTTTTGCTTCCTCTTGATCTGGGTATGCTGGTGGTTCATACCCTTTTCCATTCCTAAGAGTGATAGCTGCTACAGCTGCTCTCCTTGGATTGATTTCCACTTTTCCTGGTAGCACACCTTCTTCTCTCTTAATAGAGCTGGCTATGTTGGCAACTCTAAGATCCAAGTCTCTTGTGAAAGAAGAAATTGAATCCAACTTCTCATTCAATCTTGTGAAGGCTGACTCCAATCTCTCATCAATCAAGGCTGTGTGCTCTCTATGAGAACTCTTGATGAAAGTTATCAAATCTTCAAAATTGCTCCTTGGCTCCATTCTTCTCTTGTGAGGTGGTTGCTGATAATTTCTTCCTCTATGAACATCCCTCTTCTCATTGGGTGATTCTTGAGTAAAAACATCATGCTCTCCTTTCCAAGCTTCTTCTATATGTGCTGATCCATCTATTCCAACAAAGTTTACTTCTTCTTGGAAACTTGGAATCAAATCTCCAAAGTAATCTTGAATTATTGTGGACTCAACTCTATAAGCTTCTCTTTGTCTCTCCACTTCTCTTCCTTGGTTTCTCAGTATCTCAGCCATCATGGCTTTGATCTCGCTGTATCCATCTCTGTATGGATCAGAATTTATGGCCTTCACTGCTCTCTCATGCCCAATGAAGTTGTCACTGTCGCTTGAGGCTAGATTTTCAATCAAAATCTTTGCTTCAGTAACTGTCTTGGTCATGAAATTTCCATTGCTGGCTGTATCAAGAGAAAATCTACACTTCCCACTTATTCCTCTGTAGAAAATGTTCCATAGACTGCCCTCAGATAGCCATGGTTAGGACACTCTCTTGTATAGTCCTTGAAGCGCTCCAATGCTTCATGAAAAGGCTCCACCGGCCCTTGTTGGAAACTAGAGATCTTTTCTCTCAACAAGTTTGCTCTCTGCTTTGTGAAAAAGTGACCTAGGAATGCCACCTTGTACTCTTTCCATGTGGTTATGGATTGAGCTGGAAGAGACTTAACCCAGCGCAAAGCCTTCCCTGTCAAAGTGAAAGAGAATAGTTTGCACTTTAAGTACTCCTTGGGTGCACCTCCTGCACTGATGGTGCCACAAATTTCTTCAAAAGCATCAATATGTTCCAAAGGATTCTCTTGGGGTTTCCCTTGGAACTGGTTTTGTTTCACCAAACCAATAATCTCCGGCGAAATCTCATAGCTTCTTCCTTCAGGAAGTGGCGGCTGGATGGGATTCCGATCTATTAGTAGTGTTGGATTGGAATCGAAGTCTCCCATGACTTCTTCATTGTGTCGCGCTCCATCATTGGCGCGATTGTGCGCGGCGTTCGGATCCGGCGGATCTTCGTGCTGCTCGGCCAGCGCGATCTCTCTCGCGGCCAAGTTATCTCTCTCCTCTTGATCGTCTGAATCACTCATGTTAGAGTCTTCTTTCAAGCTTAGTACCTGAAAGGGATAGAGGCAAGATTCTTTAAATAGAAAACAGTAAAAAGGAAAAACAAAAGTTGAAAATTTGCAAAAACAAAAAGGAAAAACGAAATTCTAGGCTAGACTATAGTTGGGAACTCGAAGGTAGCTGTATTGCTCCCCGGCAACGGCGCCAAAAACTTGATCGCGGGATCAGGTCTTCCCTTTTCCTATCCCTGATTCTGCAAGTGCACAGATCAAAAGTAGTAAACGGGTATCGAACACAAGGAGCAGATAAGTACACTTCGAGAATTGCAAGTCTAAATAGCTAGAAAACAAGTATGATTTAGGGTTTTTGATTGTGAAACAAGTAAATCAAACAGCAGATTAAACGGTTTATGAAAATCAATAAGGGAAACGCTAGGCAATGAGAAACTCGCAGAGATTCAAGGTTAACAAGATATTAGAAGGTTCGCTAGGGTTTGCGCTATCTAGAACTCAGGTCACGATTGTATGATCTTTCCACTGTCGAGGCTCCGACCCCTTTGTTAATCTACCTAGTCGCTAAACTTTTGGTATGTCCCTAGGTGATTAAATCAAGCAATAGTTCGTTCAAGACCCAATTGTTCACAACCCCGCATAGATCAACTTTCGCAGTCTATGAAGTTTTGCTCACCAAATACTTAGTTCAGGTTATATAGCAAGCTTTTGGAGAGTATATGAAACCTAAGATCTGATGCTAGTTGATCAGAAAAGCAAGCAGCAATGAATTCAAGCAGAGGCGAAGATGCGATATGATAAACCCTATGTGACTTCTAACAACCTATCAAACCATGAACTCTTTGATAGATCTCACAACCTAACTAGTGAATTACTCAGACATAATCAAAGCAAAAACACAAGAGATGAAGAAAACATGATTGCAATAAAACTCAAAGTATGAAATTGAATACAAGGGCGGCTCTCTTTCTCAAGAGGCTAAAAATCCATATATATAGTGCTAGGTCTTTCTAGAGGCGGCTTAGGGTTAAGCCGGGCTTGAAAACATAAGTGGGCTTCAAAAAGGGCTTCGGGTCGACCGCGGCGTTGGGACGGTCGTGCGGGACGATCGGCCGGACAATCGGGTCGTGGGCGAGTCGGAACGGTCGGGCGGATGGATTCGCGGTCGGCCGGCGTGGTCGAGCGGATGAGATTTGGCCGATGATTCTCGGCCGGACGTGGGACGTTCTTTCCCGGCTCGGACGGATGCATCGGCCGTGGTACGCGAAGGTTGCGCGGCCGCGAGGCCTTGTTCCCGGCTCGCGCGCGGTCGTGCGCGGTGGAGCGTTGGCTTGGCCGACCGCGGGACAATGTTTCCCGGGTCGTGATGCGTGATCGGCCGGTGGTTTGGAACTTTGGCCGAGACTTCAGACGGACGGATGTGATTTGGCCGAGCGCGGAACATTCGTTCTCGGCCAGCCGGACTGCGCGGTTGGGCGCTGTTCTCGATAGAGCCGTCTGGACAGTCTTCACTCTTTTGGTTGTAACTCCTTTTCTACTCATCCAAATGAGGCCATTCCAGTTGCGTTGGAAAGTTAACTCAATCAGAGCACGCAGGGAACTGGTCTTGATGAAATCCATTGAGTAGATCTTTTTCTGGGCCCTCTTAAAGTTGGTGCTTGTGCATGGAGCGGCTTGAAGTGCAAATCCTATGGTTTTGCTCCAAAATGCATCATTTCACCTGTTTAGACTCTAGACACTATAAACACAGTAAAACTACCTTTTTAGATAGAAAACCTGCCAAAAACCATTAGAAAACAATGCTAAAACAGTATAAAAAGTGGGTAAATTAGAGGTATATCAACTCCCCCAGACTTAGATCTTTGCTTGTCCTCAAGCAAAAAGAATCTAATCCGTGAAAGAGGTTTGAAAACGTGGAAGCTCCCTTGCTCTTTTGAATATCCTGTGAAAGGTTCCTTTCCTGTATTCCACTATGAACATAGACAACATAAGGTTAGCTTCACATACACCCTGCAAGTTTAGCGAACAATACCAACCCAACTAGTCTCATCCAGCAATCCAAACTCTCTATTGCTAACCTCTTGCATAAATTTAAAGCGTGAATTCTTTATCAAGGGGACATCGATCAATTGAACTTGTTCTTACCCACTTGATCCTCTCCAAGATTGTCTTTGAAGTGCAATGAGTTCTTTTCCTCTCTCTTTCTCACATCAGAACTTTGAAAGGTCAATTTCTCCCTACTTTTCTAGGGTATCATTTTATTTTTTCTATTGACCCTTCTTTCAACCACAGGATAAGTCTTTAGCTTGTTCCTTGTTTGACTAAGGTATTCCATAAGACATGAAGGTACAGACATATGCATTCCTCATGCTTACTTGTTTTCCTTGTGCTCTTTGAGCTTTTTCTCATAACATTACTTACCTTTGGGATGGGAGAGAGAGGAGAACTCTTTAAAGATTAGACAAATCTTTGAAAATCAAGCAAGGAACTGTCGACATGTATGCCAATCCCCTTGACAAGAGTGATTAAGATTGATTAAGGGTGAGGTTAACTCTAGATTGCTTGGTTACCTTAGAAATTTTGCTGAGCTAGCATGTCGATCCACTGTAAGAGCTTCTGTTAGGCTTGTGCCTTTAGCTGGTTTCTGCTCTAGGGTCATGGATTGTTAGCACAACACTCTCAATTCTCAAAGCAAGTTCATAACTTCCGGACTGGTTTTTGACTCAATAAAACTTTTT